CACCTCCACCTCAAGGCACCAGGCACCACCACGCCGGGGGGTTAACCACAACCACCCCCAAGCAAACACCTTACCTGACATTCACCTCCACCTCAAGGCACCAGGCACCACCATGCCGGGGGGTTAACCACGACCACCCCCAAGGAGAAACCTTAGCCGAGGTTCACCCCTTCAAGGAGGTTGACTGAGCCAGGTTGAGGTCCAGCGGTGCTCAGTGAGCTCGGAAGGTCCCAGGTTGAGGCCCAGCGGTGCGCACTGAGCTGGGAGGGTCCCAGGTTGAGGTCCAGCGGTGCGCACTGAGCTGGGAAGGTCCCAGGTTGAGGTCCAGCGATCCGCACTGAGCTCGGAAGGCCCCAGGTTGAGGTCCAGCGGTGCGCACTGAGCTGGGAACGTCCGAGGTTGAGGTCCAGCGGTGCGCACTGAGCTGGGAAGGTCCCAGGTTGAGGTCCAGCGGTGCACACTGAGCTGGGAAGTTGGCAAAGAGCTTGGCGACGAGTTGGCAAGGCGGAAGTGGAGGTGGAAGTTGATGCAGACATGGTCGAGGAGAAACTGGAGGAGAAACTGGAGGAGGAGGAGGACGAGGAGGAGGACGAGGAGGAGGAGGAGGAGGACAGCTAGCCGAGGAGGAGAACAACTCTGATAAAATCTAACAACCTTCACCTGGCAGGTGGGGAAAAAAGGTGTTGATGTTGAGTTTGCAAGATAGCGTGATAAACTCTATTCAAGTGGTTTGTGACTCGAAGACTGTCCTGCAATGAGAATCCCCCATGCTCATGCAGTGAGCCTTCGCTCCGTCGATTTTCTGCCTGGGTTTTGCGCGCACGCATGCCTGCATATATGGGTTGGAACGCGCTATGCGATTATATTTTTTGTAGCGCATGTAGCAGCATTTCAAATTCCACGAAAACAAATTTATTGAGGGATGAACTGGGACCAGCCGTGGTCATCTCGTAACTCAGCTTCGCAAAACCACCCTTCGTCCACCAACAGTTCCACAGACTGTTTCTTCCGGATCATGATTTGCAACGTGTTGAAAAACTTCTCCTGCAATGGCAAGCCCTATATATATATATATATATAGTGATGTATGGTGTGATTAAAGCGTAGGTATCTGCAAACGATAGTGTGGAAAAATTGCTCTCAGAATATGTCCTGGCAAAAGTTTGCTTCCTTCAACAGGTCCGCTATGGCGTTTTTATTCCCGGTTTTCCACTCGTCGATCACGTACTGTGGAGCTTCAAGGTCCTTTCTCTTAGTCTTGGGTTTGACCATCCTGATAATGCGAGCTTTGGCTTGCAAACGAAGCCTGTCCTGTGTGCAGGGCAGCGGTGGTCCAATTAGGATATATAACATAAACCCCAAAAAGAAATGTAGGGCCAGCGAAAACTAAATTGAATCAATATGTACTAAACTCTTTGACAAACCCACAGCGAATTCAACAAGTACTTCAACTAACATCCCCTTTGGAACCTTCCAACCTGACGAGTCAAAACCTTCTTTGGCTTTGTAGGTTTGCCACCAGGCGCAGGAACTGAAACTTCAGCTGAAGGAACTGCTGGTTCAACTGAATTGGGCTGGGGGGTCTCTGTGTCAGCAGGTCGTGCCCTAGCAGGAGTGGCAACAGGAGTACGCTCAACTTGCTCACCAGGCTCAGATGCCTCATGTGGTAGCCAGATAACAAAGGCTGCTGAATGTTCATATCACACTGCACCATAAAGGTGAAAGATTCCACAAACATACATCTAACCTGTGCTTTGGAACTATATGTAAATCCAAAGGAAGTCAAGCTTCCCATGTCACGCTAAGATTGATTGCATCTGATCTCAAATATGTATATATATATATATATGTCTGATTTCTTTTCTCAACTCTAATGCGGCCAGCGCACTGCAGCTGGAAGCTTTGGATCCCCGCAGTTGTCACGTAGCTCTTCCTCTGATGCCTCGTTGCCACAATGGTGAACATATTCCAGTGAAGCTGGTCTATTATTTTTTTGTTTTTTTCCTTTTTCACGATGCTTAGAGTGGACGGTTTAAAATCTCATTGTGTGATACGATACAATTTCAAGAACCCCTGCCCCCACCGTCACACTTGCATGCAAGCATGGGTGCATGTGCACTTCAAACATTTCTGCCTTGTGTGTTTCTCAAAAAAATCCAATAGCCTCAAGCAAGTTTCTGGTCGTGACTTCTGCTGAGGCTTCAGCAGGAATCGTCTCAGCCGTGGTCAGCGAATCAGCAGGGGATGCCTGAGATTGCAGGGGTCGCACTTCAGGATTCAGGGGTTATTGATGCAATGAAAGCTTCTGACAAGTGAAGGTTTGTCAGGAAAACTTCATATCTAAAATCATCTATGCAGTTGTTGGTTGAAAGTTGAAAGTACAATCTGAATAGCTCTTGAGGCCAGAACCTTTGGTGTACCACCTTCTGTTGGGTCATCACCCGTAGAAAGCTTCTGGTCCAACTCCTTGCAGGACACTCCAAGTATAACCATGCATATATATATATATATATGAGAACCAGCTGGTCAAAATCACAAGCCGTTTGAACTTTATGTCCTTTTGATGGTACTTGGTTTCAGAGTCTTGAAATCGATCACAAGATTTATATCTCTCTTCAGCAAATTTAGGGGCTTGAGCCCATCACATGTATATATATATATATACACAGTATATATATATATATTTAAGTTTATCTAGAATACCTGGAATATCTTAGCACCCCGCATCATCATTATCCCCCCAGCTATCCTCAAGTTCACGCAGAAGAGCTTCTTCATCATCGGGGATCAAATCCAACTCACCTACATTATTCCCTTTGCAAACACGGCTGATACCATCTTCTAAGGTGGCACAGCTGCCAAACCCCATGGTGGACTGACTCCGCTGCTCGGCCATGATTTATGGCCGGTCTTTGTGCTGCAGACGGGAAATGGCTGTGGTGAAGTTAATTTTGCTAATCGCTGGCACTTGCTTTTAAATTCCCCCCACAGTTGTGAAAGATCTAACTTCATCACCACTGATTTCACTCAAAGCGGTGAGCTGTCATCTTTGTTTCTTTCCAGCGGGCGTAGTCAGGCTCGCAAATGGGCAAAGTAAATTGGTCAGTGAATTGAAACATATGGGCAGTGCTACGAATCACAGTCCACTTGAATTATGTTTTCACAAACAAATCGATCCCACAGCTGTGTGCACCCTGGAAATGGATTTTCGATTTTTATGATGCTAAAAACCCAATCATAAACATATGAAAAATTGGAAAAATCGGAACCATCCAAACCCATACTAAAAGTACGGGTTAGTACGGGTAAAGTACGGGTTTGGTACGGGTTGAGGATACCCGAGGTATTGAGATAAACCCGAGGTTTTCCGGGAAATAGTACGGGTTAGTACGGGTTTGGTACGGGTTTGGTACGGGTTCGGGGCAAACCCGAACTTTTTTCCAAAAAAATAACATAAAACCATGTAAAAGCATACAATTCTACCTGAAAAGCTGGAAGCCATTGGGACCTGAATCACTCTAACATCATTGAGGCAATATACACCAACAAAGAATTCGGGTATACAAATGTTTGGTACATGATAGTACATGTTTTGAAGGCTGGTCACATGGTCTTGGGCACAACAGCTTTCCATTCACTGGGAATGCGCAGGGACCGATTGTTGCGGATGTAGTTGAAAAGCTGGGCGAAGTCTACAAATCCCCAAATGTCGTCATCAGTGGACCATTTCATAGTGGTAAAGGTCTCGAAAGCAGTGGGAAGAGGATTGGGTAATGCTGGCTGCCCGTGGGTGGAAGCTTTCATGGCCTCCACAGAATCCAGGATCTCCCGTGCGAAAGCTACCGGATAGACCCTAGGGCTGGGCAAGGGCATTCGAACCAAGGGAATTGAAGGGCGTATATATACACATGCGGTATAAGGTGCTCAGGACCCAACACCAAGATAATCAAAATTGGGCCATTTTCCCATATAAATACTGACAAGAAAGATTTCGATTATAAATACTTGGGGGAAATAGTCAACGTGCAAAACATTCAACAAATCCCACGTTAATTCATCAACCAAGTTTCTCCGTTTTACGCAAATCCTTTGTTCCCTTGTACTTCTCACGGCCTTGGGAATCCCTGTACTTGACCACTGGAGTCGAAGTAGACTTTTTTTTCCACCCTTGAAGTACCCCCTTATCGATCTTCCGGATGAGGGGCGAGTTTGAAGCCCCCCAATGCCTCTTAGGCGTGGGAGCATTGTAATGCCCCATCCACCACCGCACCGTCGTCACCTTAGTTGGGAATGGAAAGCGGTGGAAGCATGCCAGAACTGGCTGGGAATTAAATTGAAGGAGTCATCTGGGGTTGCCAAGCAGATACAAACAGTCTACGACAAGAAAATCTTGGCAAAATCTTGGGTACGCTGTGAATACCTCCATTTTCGAAAATTTTGGCCATAAGGTGACGCCAGGTAGGATAGTATTCGAGAACTGACCCTGAGGGCTGCTCAAGAGACCACAGCCCGCCGAGGGCCGTCACCAAAGCTACCATTGTGCAACTCCTGTGAGGTCGGGATCACAGGGCATGGGATATGGATTCCTTTCGAAGGAAAATTATAAATAGTATCGAAAACCCAATGTAACTGGTTAGCATTCAACACCCATCAAACATACTATAGCTCTCCTTTCAATGAGGACATTCGCAGTATAGACTGAAGGATATTCCCAGAACCCAACCGATGCACATGCGCTTCTCTGAGATGTACCATGGTTCATCTTGCAAAGGGAAGAGCATTTCAACCCAAGATGGGCAGCAAAGTCACCCACCCGGCATCGCAAGATGCAGAGCAGGGCCAACCTGAGCAGGGCAAGAAATGGTATTAAGTATACATTCAGGGGGCTTTGATTTGGTCCCTCTGCTAACAAGTTTCTTCATGGGGTTCCATGTGCTCATTAAAAAAGAAAGATATGTTGATAGTGATTTTTGATGTCCTATGATTTAACCAGAGAAATATTGTACATAAATCACTTGAAAACCATGGGCCGATCCAAGTTGCTAACATTGTACTGTGTAAACCAGCTATTTGAAAGTGAAACAAGTGTCGGAAACCATTTGCCCCAGGACCAACCCCAACCCATTACTGTATAAATTTCTGTGTCCCATTTATTTCATTTTTTCACAAGAGAATCCAGCTATATACATCGATATGAGACCAGGGTTGGGCGAACAAAACGTACCATGTGAATAGATCAGTAACCCGTATCCGGAGGCATGAGTTAAGTCCATGTAGTTCGACTTCCGATGTTCGGGTTGTTCATTGTAAAGGATGTCAAACTTTCCGCAAGTGTACATGGCCGAAGCCATGACAGAAGTCAAATTGGCTTCTCCTGCAAAGTATTCCAACCATTGGAATTCCTGCAGGCGATGTGGCCGGCAGGATGCCCAATTATCCCAAAAGCTAATCTGATATTAAGATCACATACCATGGATTTCTGTAAAACCACGGGTGTATTGAAGTCCTCATCCGTTGAATAGGTCCAGCAAAGCAAGAGGATGCACATAACAAATGCCTTGGAAAGTCTCCAAATGATTTCACCAAAAAGTAAGGAGCACTGATGGTTTGGAAAACATATGCTGTATGATCTTTCTTCATATGATCCATCTAGGCAATGGACTCGGGGCATTCCTAACTTCCACAGGCGCCAAGTGAGCGCATCGAGATCCAGCATGGCTTTCAAGATGGCGACTCTCGACACCAAAACTATTTCCCACATCCCCCTGAAAGCTTGAAGAAACTTTGAAGGGTAATTATCAATTGGGTTAATGAGCATACATGACCATTCGGAATATGAAAATGTGTAAAAGCATGCATGTGTGTATTTATATATATATTAATTAGTTTCAGTTTCAGTTTGACAGAGCCCCTACTGATTCTGAGCATGGAGGGTCGGTGATGGAGGTTTGAACCTTGACCAGAAGTTGAGCATACAACTCAAAGCAGCTAGACATCATGCACACCAATTTCTCAAGGGTAGTCCTTTGAAACATGTCCGAATGGAATTTCAAAGAATGAGTAATTTTCGTGCAGAAACTGACATCGCTGTCCCATGCTATTCTAAGTGTTGAAAATGTTTGACACCATGTGGAACACAAAAACATGCCAGCCCCGACGTCTCTGCTTCAGGATCGTAGACCGGACCCTCCATTGACCACGCACCTTTGGTGGCTTCCGTGGCTCGGTCTTGCGACCTGGGCGCGGATAATCCGAGCGGTGTTGGGCTGGAATGCCTCTTGGGAAGGCTCACACTATTTGTGGGGATTCCATATGTGTGGATTGTTGTGGGGTCTCTCTCCAAATCATTGGTAAAGATTGAGGAGCAGTTTGCTGATTCAACTTGCCATCAAACATTTCCGCAGGGTGCAGTAAAATCTTCAAACTAGCAAATAATTTAGTGGTGTCAACCTTGTTATATGATGATTTCAAAAAAGATAAAGTATACAACCCAGATTTCCGTGATTCCCGATAAACTCAACCCGATTCCCTTTTATTCCATCGGCATGCTCACAATGGAGCCCATCCATCGATAGCTCAAACTTTCAACTTGAAGCTGCTTGCCTGAGGATTTCCCCAGACAAAACCACGGATTTGCTGGCGATCTCGACAGGACTGTTTCCATCTGATGGCCAGACATGGTGTCAAAGAGTTGGTGAACTTATCCCCAAAAAAATCTACATGTTTACCCAAAAGTAAACCTTGGGAATTTGGATTTGATTCATCTGATTGGGTTGCAAGTTGACTGCAAGTACAAATACAATTTTTTTTTAATGATCTAATTAAACATGGCACATGCCATTCCACAGAGCTGGGAAACATCCTGGTGAGCAGTGCTCTGCGCGAAAGGGACCTCCCAAAATTGACGTCCAGATTTCACTGCTAAAAGATAAGGGTGAACATTTACATACACAGAAGAGAACAACAAGTGTTTGCCAAGAGACAGGTCACAATAAGGTTATACATCCAATTCAAAGGATATGATCAACCTCTTTCTTATGGTGTAGGAGTGAAACTTTGTGTGACATATTATTTGAGCTCGTGCCATGGCAAACATACCCTAAGCACCTGGGATCTAAACTTGGAACAGCGTGCTTTCCCGTAGAAGTCAGTTCAGACTTCTTTACCCCACACGTGGCGGCAAGCGCAGGTGCATGGTAATATGCCAAGTACAGTCTTTCATGGTCCCGAATCACATGTGTTATGTGATCCAATTTACTGCTCCGAAAATTCTGAGATCAGTTTCAAAATGGCATTCCGGCCAGCTTGCTTAAGCGCCTCTTTCTTTTCAAGAATGGGCGGCGAAATGGTGAAATCATCGGGCCCATTGAAGTGTCGATCCTTCAGGTCTGAAGACATCAGCTCGTCCACGAACATTGCCTGAGATAACACGCTTTAGAATGCACCTTTCTGGATTCGATTCTTTTTTTGAACAGTGCTGAAAAGGATTATATATTTTTGAGATGTATATAGTATATATATATATATATGAGTTGTCTTTGGCCCAAGGACACCATTACAAGTATCATGTGCCAACCCACAGGTTCCCAGAAAACACAATTTAGACAGGGCACCATCAGCTGAGCAGCTTTGAATGCAACTGCCAAACACAAACACCATGATGCTTCTTCTACCGGGAAATAGAAGTAGGCAAAATCCTTCTGCTGTGTGATGCTCCTAACCCCTGCTGCCGGTCGTTTCCAGTAGGGGTTGAATTTGCACTCTTTGAATGCCATGGCTCCGATGGTTTGTTCCTTGATTTCTTGCTTGAATTCCTTCAAGTCTGCTCTTGTGATGCCATCATCAACTTCGTCAAAGTAGTTGCGACCAAAGTCTTCTAAGATTTTTTGCAAATCTTCTGTTCGCTTGTCAACCATGCTGCCGACGACAACCTGTGTGACCTCAACCTGTGGCTCAACCTGTGGGACCTTGTTCTTGCTCTTCTTGCTCTTGGTTTTGGTTGTCTCCTTTCCACTATCCTTTGCTACCTTGACCTTGTCCGTTTTCTTCACCTCCTTCGAACGCTTGTTGGTGCGGGGCTTCTTGCCATTTTCAGCCTTAGCGGTTTTTGCACTGGCCCCTGTTGGTTCTGTTTGTTTTCCCCTCACTCTCCTCTTCACCTCTGGAACCTTCTCCTCATGCAAGGAGTAGAGGCTTGCCCTTCCATCCTCCCATGCAGCCTTGTCCCACACCTGGGAGTTGTCCCAGCCAGCCCACCCATAGTGAGGTCCCTCACCCCATTCCTCTTCCCAATGTTCATGCCATTCGGCATCAACTCCATCCCAATGGTCCCAAGTCTCATCCTTTGCCCCGCTAGGTGTCACTGGAATTGTCTTCGCTTTCTTGTTGCTTTTGCTCTTTGCTGTTGTCTCGGGGGCTGATTTCTTGCGACTGTTCTGCCTGGGTTCTTTGGGCTTTCGTTCTGTGGCTGCTTTGCTAGTGTTGTCATCATCATCTTTTTTTCGTGTGTCACCTTTGCCCTTTCCCCGGCCCCTACCCCGCCCTTTGCCTTTCCCCCGACCTCTGCCTTTTGAACTCTCGGCCGAAAGTTGCTCCTCACGGCTGACTGGCACCCGGTTCTCGTTCTCCTGGCAAGGCCATGAGATGATGATAAATGATGTCATGTTGTAAGCTTGATGTCTTGTGGAGGTTTTTTTTTGGTTTGTTTTGATATGCTATGACGACTGGATCAGCCATGATCAACCCTGAAACAAGACCAGCTAAACCTATGAACAGGAATGTAGATATCCATATACTTGCACATATATTTTCCCACAAATAAAGCGAACCCCAAATCATTAACAACATCTTGAATCCCATGTATGGGCTCCTCATCAGTCTCGGTGAAATGTTCTTTCTCTTCATCATTAGGCGCAACTGGTGTAGTCTTGTCACCATTGCCGGCATTGGATTTTTCGGGTAACATTGACACATCATTTGACTGTGGGGGTGGCTCATCAGAACCCTTTGATCGTTTCTGGTAAGCTTCGCGCTTCTTCTCTGCAGGACAGGGTGGAGAAGCGTCTGGTGCTGGAGGCTCCACCGGTGGGGATGTGCAGGTGATGTCCACCGGCTGGGTCTCGATGTTGTCTGGGCCACGAGGACAAGCAACATCACCTGACATGGCAGGTATGTGCGCAGAAGAAACCATTATATAGGTTTGGACAACGTGTCTTCTACTAAACTCATCTTAGATACCCGTTTAAATTGCACAGGATATATAAAGTTGCGTCCTTCCTAATTCTGAAATGTTGATGCTGCATTTTTTGTTTTCTCAAACAATACTGATCAGATGGGATGGTGCCTTTCGAGGTTACAGGAGGGCTCGAGTTGGTAGTCTCCTCTGCTTTCTTCTTCTTCAGCCTAGGTCCATCATGGTCTCTATTCAGAGAATATCAGCAGGGAAAAGACATACCTTCAGATATCCCTGGTACAGCTCTGAAAACTAAAGGCCAAATGCCAAACAAATCACATCTTGTTGAACTAATGAGAATCAGGCATTCGTGGATTTGTGAAAATGTATTGCTTGACCTATATGTGTTGAATGTTATGTATAGATATATATAAACAGTAAAGACTGTAAAGATGAGAGGCTCTTCCAGCTTCTGTCTCACCTTTTCCCGTCGTGCTTCCAATTCAGCTTTGGACCCTTGGATGAAGCAGCATGGCACTGCAAATGACACAAGTTTCCAGAAGATAAGCAGCCCACCATCCAAAACAACCGGTTTGACAACAAGGGGCTCCATACCAATCAACTCCTTTTATATTATTTCTGACAAAGTACCCGTAGGTGGTGGCATTGCAGGGGTCGTCGAAGAACTGGAAGGAGCACCCAAAGTGCTATTTGTAGGTGGTGGGTTTGATGTCTCCTGCTTACATTCACCTGTTTCAGAACCGCTTGCCTTTGGGGTTGGCTCATTCGATGGGCTTTGTTCTTGTTCAACCCCAGGCCCACTCTCACCATTCTCCTCCTCCAAGCACTCCTCTCTGTGGTCCAAGCCGGAACCGCTAGGTCCATCATCATACTCGTCCTCTTCCTGCTCAGCTTCAAGGGCAGCAAGACGGGTCGCCTGGCAAGGAAGGGTGATGTTGGGTCAAGGTCCATGGGACGAATGGGGGCCTAGCATATACTATACAGGTCAAGACTGGAGTGTCAAGGTTTGGTCGCATGTCCATTCAATAAAGTAATGCTCGTGCAGATAACTTAACATATGCAAAAAGAGAAGACTTGAAAGGACGACATTCAAAGATTCGGCGATGTCTCTTTAAACCATAAGTTGAAATCATACCATAAACCCTGACCCAAAGAAGCAAACATAGAACCAGTTTCCTGCTCATATTCTATGTAAAAGATGTATACTCTTCTTTTAAGGCACGGTTCATTCAAGGCACGGTTCCTGAGTGTTGTTTGCACCTTGAACCATCAAAACAAAAGACCCTGTGAACATGAATCATTCCATGTCCCCGGGGAATAAGCTGGAAACAATCGTTGATTGGCCTCCTTAGCCTGGCGTTTCGCTTCCAGCTTGGCATTGACATTGTTGACTGTCTCCTGCATGCGTAGCAGGCCGGGCAACCCAAAAAATGACGACCTATGATCAACCAAGAATTTTGATGCCGCCAATTTCTTTCAGGCATTAAAGGGCATGGCCACCGAAAGTCAACAAACTTGCTTAACTATAAGGCCAGTGATATGTTTATACAGTTATCTTAATAGCAAACACCTTTTGGAAGATTCCATATAGTACAGTAAAACGGCTATATTCAAATCTTGTTGATAACAGGATTCTCGATGAAGAAATGATTTATACGATATATAAAACATATATCTGCTGAGACATCCGTGGAACACAATCCTCCAAGGTCGGCTCAAGTAGAAGACACAGCTGCTGGAAATCTTCCACCTCGGATGGACCCATTTATCCCTACCAGGACAGGACAGGACATAGGGGGTTGCTAAATCCATGTTGCAAGTTTCAACGGTGAAATCCCGTTTTGAATACCCGATCGAATTAGGGGGGAGACGTCGCACCCGGCTTCTTGTAAGATAATTCCAGGGGACTTCCAAAAACCCTATAAAAAGAATTGTTTTTTGGGAATTTTGGCCCTTACAAAAAGCATAGGTTTTTAGCACCCACATTCGACTTCAAACACCTATACCATTTTATAAGGCGACGACTTTCTTCATGATATGAAAGTTGCATCCTACTCGATGACCTTTTTATATTTTTTTTTATAAGAAGTTGTGATTTTAAATAGCGTTTTCGGGCATCATTTTGTAAGGAAACAACTTCTGGTTCCCTGTTTCTGGTTTTCCCGGACTCGTTGATTTTCAAGCAGCCTTTTTGTAAGGATTCCATTTTATGCCACCTTTTATGTTGTTTTATATTTTTGTATGTTTGTTTCTTTGGCCTCATTGCCTCCCAGAACTCCTCTCATGATGTCTCGCGTTTGTGTTATCACATGAGTTTAAAAAAAATAAAAATTGAACACGAAAAAACATGTACAAAATGAAAACATAAGATAGCCGTGAACGTCGTCACACTTACAACTTGCAAAAGATCCTTGGCCATCCTTGGCCAACACAACACCAAGAAGAAAGTTGGTGCCTCCGCCAAATCCAAATTTAATTCAAAATTGCTGCCATGGCTGCCCTAAAACTTGAACTGTGCCATACTTTGTATCAATGCCTAAAAAGCATATATTCTTACAAAAAGGATCTTCTACTCTTGACGACATCTCCTTACAAAATGTCATTGCACACCCTGCTGAATTCTTTTTTGTTTTCTGATGTTCAATAACAACATCTTGAGCTTACAAAAAGCATCAATTACTTTACTTCGAGTGATCCCCACCATGACATTTATACGTTTTGTTACTGACAAATCTTCTGGCATTCTATCTGGCATATCTTCTGGCATTCTATCTGGCATATCTTCTGGCATTCTACCTGGCATATCTTCTGGCATTCTATCGGACATGCTATCTAGCGTTCTATCTGGCATATCTTCTGGCATTTATGAAGCCAAAACACGCTTTAACAATTCATGCCATATGTCGCGCGTGATCATCTCGCACACAACACCCAAAACGTGACTTCACATGGATGAAACTCGCTGTCGTCAACCATGCCCCGCTCAGGGGAGCCAGTTGAGGTTCACCTCCACCTCAAGGCACCAGGCACCACCACGCCGGGGGGTTAACCACGACCACCCCCAAGGAGACCTGAGTTGAGGCTCACCTCTTCAAGGAGGTTGACTGAGCCAGGTTGAGGTCCAGCGGTGCTCACTGAGCTCGGAAGGTCCCAGGTTGAGGTCCAGCGGTGCGCACTGAGCTGGGAGGGTCCCAGGTTGAGGTCCAGCGGTGCGCACTGAGCTGGGAAGGTCCCAGGTTGACGTCCAGCGATCCGCACTGAGCTCGGAAGACCCCAGGTTGAGGTCCAGCGGTGCGCACTGAGCTGGGAACGTCCGAGGTTGAGGTCCAGCGGTGCGCACTGAGCTGGGAAGGTCCCAGGTTGAGGTCCAGCGGTGCACACTGAGCTGGGAAGTTGGCAAAGAGCTTGGCGACGAGTTGGCAAGGCGGAAGTGGAGGTGGAAGTTGATGCAGACATGGTCGAGGAGAAACTGGAGGAGGAGGAGGACGAGGACGAGGAGGAGGAGGAGGACAGCTAGCCGAGGAGGAGAACAACTCTGATAAAATCTAACAACCCTCACCTGGCAGGTGGGGAAAAAGACAAACTCGATGGTCTTATAAAATGACTTGGCACCTCAAAACTCTTACAAAATGAACACTTGAAAATCTACAACTTTGCCTTTTGGGTGCCCTGTTACAAAATGCCCTGGTTAGGGGGATCATTGTAACTACAAAATGCCTATATATAAACCATTTATAGTGGGGCCGACCCCTTCCATTCTGTAAGGGAAATTCGAACGGGGATCGTTTTGACATGAAACATTATGTGCGTGCAAAGTGTGGTCTTTTCAAAACAAGACACCTGGGACACTTCGCTTCTTCGCACTTTCATTTTCACAAATCCAGCCATGAAGCGCACCCTCCAAGCGACTGCCATCAAACCTTCATAGTCTTCTGGTTTTGGTGGCCTTTTGTTGAGGGTCAAAGCGGATTCCACAGCTGCATGAAGATCGTGGATGCTGGGAAGAACCCTCTTTTCAGAAACAGCCATCCTAGTGAGTAATGGGACAAGCAACATCCTGTTCAGGCAACATCCCTTGATGTCCTCACCCGCAGGGGTGTCAGGATGAAGGAATGACCCACCGTCCCTCCACCTCCCTCGAAGCTCAGGATCTGAATCCCATTCTTGGGCCAAGGATGTCAAATCTAATCGACTCCCAAGGCTCTCCTCTGATGACCCGGGCGCCATGGCGCACAAGAGGCACCACCACAAGTTAGGGATAAAATGCCTGATTAGCCGAAAGCAGCGAGGATCAGCATCATGGTTTCCCAAACCCAGCAGCCACCACTGAATCTTCCCTGAGTTTATCAACTTATGTTTCTTTTCATCCATTCAGTTTTTTGGGGGGCACTTTTCAATCAAGGGTTAAGCCTCTTGCCGCAGGACTTGCTGAGATCCCAGCGGGGCATAGAGGATCATCATGATGCCATG